CTAATCAGCAAGAAGGTCACACCTGTGGCAGCACTTTCCCATCTAGGCAGGCCTGCATGCTGATGAGCTGACTATGGTCCTTCCGCTCCTGCCATCAAGCTGAAGCCTCCAATATCCCCCAGAGGATATACAGCCTAGGCACTCAACCCAGTCCTCACATCCTTTCCCTTTCCTGGCTTCTAAGACGATGGCTGCCTTCCTAGAACAACCAATGCTCTCACTGTTGTGTATTTTCACCCAGTGAGTCTTGTCTTCCCCCTAAATTCCATCTTCAAGGGTACGGTATGTGTATCTTGTCCCTCGGAGCCTTTGTCATAGTTCTGGGCATTAGAAGGTACTGTTGACTAGAAGTAAGCAAGCTACCAAATAATTTTAATACATGTTCTTTTAAAAATGATTTTTAATGTATGTGTATGCATAGGTGTGTTTGTGAATTTATGTGCACCATGTACATACAGTTGTCCATGGAGGCCAGAGGGTGTCAGATCCCCTGGAACTGAAGTTGCAGGCAGTTGTGAATGGCCAGATGTGTGTGCTGGGATCTGAACCTGGGTCTTCTGCAGGAGCAGTAAGCACTCTTTACCATTGAGCCATCTCTCTAGTCCCTGATACATGGATTTCTAAGAAGGAATTCTATAGCTCCTCACATTTCTTTTCTTGCATCAAACTGAGAAGGCTTGAAAAAATTTCTAGATACTTCACTTTGTTGTGATTTTGTTTGTTGATAACAAGGTTAAAGCAAAAGGTTATCTTGGTTCCAGTGTTTATCTAATTCAACTATGCTGGGTAGCCCCTATGACATGCCCACTTACAGATTTTCTACTTGAAGAGTCTAACCTTTATGATAATGTGGGCTATTTCTTATTCCTCCTACAGATGGAATGGTTTCTCTTTTTCTCGAAGAGCATGTTCTATTGGATTAAATAAATATAAAGGGGTTAATGGGTAAATAATTTCATTTTGGCTTCCTTAATCTCCTTTCTCTCTTACCCCTTCAGGGTTCTGCCTCCCTGAAAGACAGAAGGGCTTTAAACGAGTTTGCTTGAACGTGTGGAGTCGGTGGGGACACGGAAGGAAATGGCCTTTTTCTTCCAGTAGGCAAAGTGGTGAGATTCAGTTCATCAAATATTTATTGACCTCTTCTGGCTCTCCTAGCTCTGGGCACAGCACAACAGAGAACACCAGGATGGGAAGTGATGACTGGCTGCAAGGACAGGGGAAAACAAAGGGGAAAGTTTAGAAGGTGCAGAAAGGAGGAGGGTACTAGAGAAGAGAAGAGGAAAGGAGAGCAAAGGTGAACTCTCTGGACCGTTTTCATGCTAATTAAATTTTTTCATTTATTTTACATACCGACCCCAGTTTCCCCTCCCTTTTCTCCTCTCATTTCCTCCACCACCTCCCTTCTAACCCCCTTCCCCATACAATCCTCCTCCATTCAGACAGGGTAAGGCATCCCACAAAAGTCAACAAAGCATGGTACATCAAGTTGAGGCAGGGACCAAGTTCCTTCCCCTGTATCAAGATTGGGCGAGGCAATTCAACTTGGGGCTTGGCTTCCCAAAAGTCTCTGGCCTATTTTTACATGATAGCACCATAAAAGCCCAAGAACCCTACAGCAGTGGTTTGAATTTGGATTTTGAGAGCCTTTAGAGTAATTAGGATTGTCACAATTTCAGTCAAAAGTAGCTATGAGTTTTTGTGTGTGCATACATAATATTATTATTTTATCATCATGCTGGGTATCAAACCCAGATACTCTTCCTCTGAGGTAAATCCTTAGTCTCTAGAATTCTTCTTTTTTTCCTTCCTTCCTTCCTCTTTCCCTCCCTCCCTCTCTTCTTTCTTTATTCCTTCTTTTCTTTCCTTCTTATTTTTTCTTTTTTTTTGTTTTTTTGAGACAGGTTTCTCTGTGTATCCCTGGCTGACCTGGAACTAGCTCTATAGAACAGGCTGTCCTTGAACTCAAAGAAATCAGCCTGCCTCTGCCTTCTAAGTGCTGGGATTAAAGGGATGTGCCACCACCACCTGACCAAGCAATAACTATTCTTAATCACTGAACCATCTCTCTAGCCCTTGTTTTTATTTAAAGAAAATCATTTATTTATTTTATGTGTATAAATGTTTTGCCTGCATATATATATATATATATATATGTGTGTGTGTGTGTGTGTGTGTGTGTGTGTGTGTGTGACCAGTGCCCTCAAAGTTCAGAAAAGGGTCTTGGATCTCCTATAACTGAACTTACAGACTATTGTAAGCCATTATGTGGGTGCTGGGACCTGAACCCAAGTTGTCTTCAAGAACAGGCAGTGCTCTTAACTACTGAGCCATCTCTCCAGCTCCCTAAATTTTTGAGTAATAATAGCTGACATTTTTGTATGATTGCTGTGTTTGAAGTGCTTTCTCTTTCCCAGCATTAACTCGCTTACTCTTCATCACAACCACACGAGATAGAAACAATTAGGATTCAGACCAATCACGAAACAGCCAAACATTTGCTAAAGTGTACATAGCTTCTAAGTATCTGTGTCGCCCTTCTGTTTTTACAAATAATTATTGTATGTTTACTAAATATAACTTAAAATTTATTTTTTATATTTATTTATTTATTTTGGTTTTTCAAGACAGGGTTTCTCTGTAGCCTTGGAGCCTGTCCTGGAACTAGCTCTTGTAAACCAGGCTGGCCTTGAACTCACAAAGATCTGCCTGCCTCTGCCTCCCAAGTGCTGGGATTAAAGGCATGCACTACCACCACCCAGCTTTATATTTATTCTCTCCCCCCCCCCCCGGTTTCTGCCACAGTGTTTGTGTACATGTCAGAAGGCAACTTTTGGCCCATGTGGACTTTAATTGAATTCAGCCCATCAGGCTCAGAGACAAGTCTTTATTCAATGTTCCTTCTCAGTATAAAGTTTTCTTGAGACAGGGTCTCACGTAGTCCAGGCAGGCCTTGAACTCACTATAACCTTGAACTCCTGGTCCTCTTGCTTCCACTTCCTGAGTGCTGGAAGTACAGGTGTGAGCTATGGTATCCAGTTTATATGGTGCTGGAGATGACATCCAGGACCTTGAACATGCTGGAAAACACTCTGAGGTATGTTCCTAGCCTTGGTTTTTGTTGTTGCTATTGTTTTTGAGACAAAGTTGTACTCTGTAGTTTAGGCTGACATAGGATTTACTCCATAGGTAGGATAGTCTTATCCTTCCACCTCAACCTCCTGTATTACAGGCCCAAGCCACCACCTCTTGTTGGCAGTGTGGTTTTTAAATCTTGGCTTGACTCAGTACTTATTATTTGAGGTACTGGCTTTGTTTCATTCACTCCCTGGGACTAATATTAGCATTGCCTTTGCACATAATAAGCATGCTGTGCTTTGAAAGAAGTGAAACACCAACTAAAATATGCTTCCTATTTAAGGTCATTTACAAAAGCATAAAAAATTGCCAAGTGCAGAGAGAAGGTTTATAATCTCAACACTTGGGAGGTAGAGGCAGGAGGATCAAGAGTTCAAGTACAGCCTGTGCTGCAAGAGACCCAAACAAAGCTAAACAAAACCCTAGCAACAACAAAGAATAAGCAGACAAAACCACTGTTAGGTCTCAAACTTGGGACAAACAGCTGAAGTGCCTATTTAACATATCCCAGTTCCCTGGCCACCAGATCCCTCAGTCCCTACTTGTTACAGGGTGTGGAAGACATACCTACCTTCTACCCTAACCTTCTCCAGCTTAGAGGCTGGGATGCCCTTCCCCTAGCTGCTCTTCACTATATAATCCAGACATTCTGGTTACCTGGCCTTTTCATCTACTCTTTACCCTCCTGGCTTCTTAGTCTGGCTTTCCTCTCTGCCTTCTCCTCAGCCCATCTCAGGGTCATGTTCACTCTGGACTCTCCCAGATGTCTCTGCCTCTGTCTATGATTTTCCTTTTATCTACGATAAACCTTCACCTCCACCATACCTAGGAGCCATCATGTCCTTCTTATTTATTTTTTCTTTAAACCACCCAAACTCAAGCAAGACAAATTTTTTTTCTATTGCCACATAAAACAGAGGGGAAGAACTGTCTGAAAATTTTTCTGGCTCACTCACTTTTACCATGAGAAAGGACTTAATAAAACCACCTTGCTCCCGTTGTCCAAATCTTCCGAATCCCATATACATGGATACCTGGAATTATTTTGAAAATGTTTTCTGCTGGATGTGTAATCCCAGAACTTGGGACCTTTACATAGTGAGTTAAAGGTCAGCCAGGGGTGCATTGTGAGACCCTGCCTCAAAAATCATCACATTTTGATTAATTGATTAATTAATCAGTTCTGTATGAAGAGTCGGGGGTTCATGTGTGTGGGTGCGTATGGCGGTCAGAGAACAGCTTGCAGAAGTCCATTCTTTTCTTCTACCAGGTGGGTCAGGCTTGGCAGCAAGTTCCTCTTTGGAGGGTGAGATGGAGCTTGCTGCCAAATCTGCTGGGTTGGATTTGATCCCAGAAATCTACAGAGTAGAAAGAGAGATATGACTTTAACAAGTTGTCCTCTGACTTCCACCCATGGGTGATGGCACCCGTGAGCTAGATAAGTCTATATAGTTAAAAAAAAATAGAAAAAGAAAAATAATCTTTGGGTCAAGAGGGTTCAAGTGTAGCATCGCTGGGACGGGCAATACCATTAACAAGGCGATATGAATTTCTTCAGGATTCTTTTCCTTGGCTTATATTTCATGGGGGTGGGGGGGGTGGGAGGGGAGTGGGTGGGGAGGGGTGGAAGGGTGGGCGGGGTCGCAGAGAGGAACTTGGAAAAAAAGTCCAGCAGTCCGCTGAGACAGGAGCACTTCCCACGAAGGGCTCTGGGGCAGTCAGCTGGATTGGGTGGTACGCTAGCTGGAGGAGGAGCCCCGCAACGCTGGGTGGAGCTGGGGCGGGCCAGCCGCGACGTCGCGCTCCAGGAAGTGACTCGCCCCTGTGACCTCCTGCCCCCAGCGCCGTCCGTCTGAGGCTTTAGTGGCCCCGAAGGAAGGAGTGGTAGGTAAGTAGTCTGGAAAACCCAGTTTTAGGAGAACTCTTCTCTGTGCCCCAGTGTCGGGTTTGGGACAGGAAGGAGGCAGACAGGGCCGGGCATGCCACTCAGGGTGGCTGTGCAAGGTCGCAGCCAGCCTGCTGTCTACCATTGCAGATCCCTCCCCCACATCCCTATCTCAGCCTTGCAACCCACCTATGGTTTGTGGGTTTGTGGTGGCGTGTCCTAGCGTCTGTCTGCTAATCCACTTAGTTAAATATCCCATTGCCGTGGTAAAATACCCTGACAAAAGCAGTTTTAAGGGAGAGAGGGATTGTTAGGCTCACAGTTGCAGTTTCCAGCAATTCGTTCTGAAAAAGTCAAGACAGGAACTTGAAGCAGCTAGTCACATCCCAGCCAATGGCACGGAGACAGCGAATGCAATATATGATTCCTACCCAGCTCGCTTTCTACAGCATTCTAGTCCAGAACTGAAACCCAGAGCTAGTGCCCACAGGAAGCTGGGTCTTTCCACAGTTAACATAATCAAGACAAGCTCCTCTCACGTTGTCCACGGGCCAACCTGATCTAACCTGTCCCTCCTTGGATATCTGTCCTTGCGTGATCTCCCCCGAGGTGCAGTCTTGACAGTTAAAATGAACCATCACACACACCTTATAGACTCTTGGGGGACAGTCTTACTCAGAGAGGCCTGGTTTGGAAAGGGTGGACCAGGCTGCATGTGGTTTGCTGTGGAAAACATTAGTAAATTAATTTTTTCCTCTGCTTTAGTCAATAACCCTGGCTGGAGTCCAGTCAGTGGAAAGGCAGGCAATCAGAGTTCCTACCTGCAGGTGGGTGACTATTTTGCTCCAAGGGATCTTTGGTTCTATGAGGCTCAGACCTTTCAGATATCTCTGACTTGAACTTCTGAGCACTGGAGGTAGATTATCCACTGAAGCTCAGGAAAGTAAACATAACCCTAGTTGGTTGCTGTAAACTCTTGCATTTTCCAGTCAGTGCTTAATCCTGAGGCAAGAACCAAGACAGAAAATTTTTTTCTCACACATATCATCAGTATTTATATTTATAACAAAATAAGATACAAGAGGGAAATATTTTTTCTGGGATCAGTTGCCTTCTGTGACACTAAAACACAAAGAAAATAGAGCTAAACTTGCTTGGTTTTGCTGACTTGCCCTGAAAAGTATATTTAGCTACAGAAATTATTAACAATAGTAAAACATTCATTACTACAAATGCTGAACAAGCTGGAACCTTCTATTTTTTTTAATTTTTGTTATTTCTGAGATCTTTTTTTTTTTTCCGAGACAGGGTTTCTCTGTAGCTTGGGAGCCTGTACTGGAACTAGCTCTTGTAGACCAGGCTGGCCTCAAACTCACAGAGATCTGTAGTAATATGGGGCGGCAGGGCTGCGTCCCCCACACCCGGCCGCCCACATGGCTAGCTTATGCCCCAAAATAATTACACAGACACTGTATTCTTTTAAGCACTGCTTGGCCCTTTAGCTCTAGCACTTACAGGCTAATTCTCACATCCCGATCAACCCATCTCTAATAATCTGTGAGAACCGGTCTTACCGGGAAGATTCTAGCCTAGTCCATCCTGGGTCGGAGCTTCATGCCAGGAGCGGGGCATGGCGTCTCTGCTGAGGCGTCTGCTCCCGAGAGAGCAGAGCTGTGGAGTCTCTGACCTCACTTCCTCTTCCTCCCAGTGTTCTGTCCTGTTTTCTCCTCCCACCTATCCTCTAACCAATAAAATGGGCCAGGGCAGTGCCTTTATTAGCCAATGACCTTCCTCCATCATTTCCCCTTTTTCGGTTTAAACAAAAAAAAAAGGATTTAACATAGCAAAATTACATATAACAAAACAGTTATCAAGTAAAAGTTACAATAATCTTTATCATAACTAAGGAAAACTATAACTATAACTAACTATTCTTAACTCCATCAAAGACTCCAGAAAGATATAATATTACCTAAGTAAACAAGAACTAAGAAACTTTTAAAACTCTAGAAATGACAGAGACATCTCGCTGCCTGGACAGTCACCCAAAGTTCCTCTGTACCGTTGGGGCATCCATCTTCAGCCTTCAGGCCCATGGTATCCAGCAGACATTTCCATAAAGCAGGAAAATTCAAAGTCAGTTCAGTCACTATCTGTTGTGTCCTGCAGAATGTCTCGCAGACTCTTTCATGAATCAGGAACCCCGAAAGATCATCTCACCTTAGGCAAGTTCAGTAGTCCTCTCTGCGGGTTCTCTGTGTCCAGTTTATGCAATAGTCCAGGCAAGAGCAGTGTCTTGCCCAAATGGCTATCAAACTCCATAAGGTGCCTCTTTGATGCCCATCTTCCTCTTGAAGTAGATTGGTGCTGCCAGGAGCAGAGTGTCTCATTGTTGTGAAAAGTCCTTAGTTATTAAAACATTAAATGTCCTATTCTGTAATCTTTGAAAGACATGAAGAATGTCTATCTAAAATATATCTCTATATATCTAGAAAATCTAACTAACATGACTACAATGATTATCCATTAACAACCTATATTTCTTAATTATACATTACATATTTAAATGAACTACACAATCACAATACCTTAATCAAAATCAGAAATACATATACATATAACAAAATTGACCCTAAATTTCTATCAATAAAGCAAAGTTTATACTAATGCAAATTATTCATACATATATCATATCCCCCTTAAAATGTAAACGAACGTTTATAAACCATATTTGGGAACATGGGCGCAGTTTTTTCTCTCCAAACTGCTTCCTGCTGAATGGGGGCGTCGTTAATTAGGTCTTTTATGGTATAACCTGTGTGCTAGTTTCATCTCAGTTGGCAGTTGAGCGAAGCAATTTTCTAAAGATGTTCACTGTAACCCTTCAGGAGGGCGTGGTCCATCATACCAAATCGGAATAGAAGAAATGAACAGCGTCTCACCCTCTGTGAAAACAAAATAAGAAACTCCTTTCCAAAGTATCATGTCCTTAGATCCAAATTTCAAAGCCAAGGCATCAAAACATCCATGTTGGATTAGCTCAGCAGCATCTACAAATAAATATCTTTTAGCAGCTGTTGGTCCTTCCTCAGAATTCAAACGATTCAAAGAGAGCATAATAGCATACAGTATCAAAATTCTCTGTGTATTTTCCATCTTTGTACAGCTTTGTTTTAACCTCTATTTCGTTTATTTTTACTTTTAACTTTTTGCTTTTTGAGACAGGTTCTCTGTATCTTTGACCTGAAGTAACTCTGTAGACCAGGCTGTCTTTGAACTCTCAGAGATCCGCCTGTCTCTGCCTCCCAGGTATTGGGATTAAAGGTGTATGCTACTACACCTTGAACTCACAGAGATCTGTTTGTCTCTGCCTTCTAGGCACTGGGATTAAAGGCATGTGCTACCACACACAACAACTCTCTTTCTTTTTTTGTTTTTTACTTTAAGAACTTCAAATTTTAGTCTGCATATATTTTTAACACACTGTAAACCATTTAAAAATTTTCTTTGTCTTTGAATCTCTCTTTACTGTATATCTCTCTTTTTCTGACCACATGAGTCTTTAATTTACCATGCAATATCAGTAGGATTAAAGGCGTGGTTTTGCCAGCTAGATCCAGTCCATTCCTTAGCTTTCCAGCCTCATGGCAGATATACAGGCTATAGCCATGTTTACTGCAACAACTGCATGGCATTTCAAGGTCCCTGCCAGCAAGTGAGCTACAACAGACAACACTCAAGTTCTCTAGGTAGCCGGCCCTCCTGCCTCAAACAGTCAGAGTTTGCCCTGGCAGGACAGCCCAGAAAGCCGGCATTTTTAAATGGCGCAGCTTTTTTCCTGCTACGGCTGAAAACCGAAAAGCATGCGTTCAGCTTTTCGTCAACACCATTTAAGTGTTTCGTGACCTCTTAATGAGCTGCAGGCTTTGCAGCTAAAGCTGAGTCAGGAAGCCTCTCTTAGATGAGGTGCATGCTTGCCTCTAACAAACAGAGCAGACCCGAGAACACAGCGAGTCTAGTTGCCATCAAACAAATGGTAGCACTTTACTCCAAATGCTCTATTCAAAAGCTCTGTATCCCGCAGGAGCCAGACAGAGATCGCAATGGCGGCACAGCCCCAGGAAGTCGCACTTTAAAATGACACAGCATTTTTTCTGCTACTGTTGCCGAATCAGGAAATCTCTCTACAGCACGCCACCAACAAACAGCAAAAATCTGTGTTAAACTCTCTCTCCCTTATTTTTAAGCCTTCTCAGGTTTTTTAAATGGGTTTAGTTGTCCACACGTCTGGGCGCCAACTGTAGTAATATGGGGCGGCAGGGCTGCGTCCCCCACACCCGGCCGCCCACATGGCTAGCTTATGCCCCAAAATAATTACACAGACACTGTATTCTTTTAAGCACTGCTTGGCCCTTTAGCTCTAGCACTTACAGGCTAATTCTCACATCCCGATCAACCCATCTCTAATAATCTGTGAGAACCGGTCTTACCGGGAAGATTCTAGCCTAGTCCATCCTGGGTCGGAGCTTCATGCCAGGAGCGGGGCATGGCGTCTCTGCTGAGGCGTCTGCTCCCGAGAGAGCAGAGCTGTGGAGTCTCTGACCTCACTTCCTCTTCCTCCCAGTGTTCTGTCCTGTTTTCTCCTCCCACCTATCCTCTAACCAATAAAATGGGCCAGGGCAGTGCCTTTATTAGCCAATGACCTTCCTCCATCATTTCCCCTTTTTCGGTTTAAACAAAAAAAAAAGGATTTAACATAGCAAAATTACATATAACAAAACAGTTATCAAGTAAAAGTTACAATAATCTTTATCATAACTAAGGAAAACTATAACTATAACTAACCAATAAAATGGGCCAGGGCAGTGCCTTTATTAGCCAATGACCTTCCTCCATCAGAGATCCACCTACCTCTGCCTCCTGCATGCGCCACCACCACTCGAGATCAAGTTTTAATAGCCCAGGCTTGCCTCAAACTCATGAGTATCATGGTTCAGTATCTC